CTTTCTTTATGTGACGGTGTCTCTGGTCATAGCAGATGTTATTTTTATATTTGATATATTTATTAAGAGAACTGGGATCACATACATATAAGACATCTGGATTATTCTGCTGCTACAGATACAGAGGCATTTAACATGTGAAATCACTCATGAATGTTAAACTCAAGTAGTAAAAATGACAGAAATCAGAGGTTTGGGTAAAGTGGTACAGTAGTAGATCAACACCTGCTAAAGGTGATGGTTACCTGTTGGACTCAAGATGGCTGTGGCATTAGAGAATGTAGGGGAAGGAGGTGACCCATGAGACAAGGTAAGAATCAGTGACACATTGACATTGGGAACCGCACTGAAGATGATGGTCATATCAGGGTCTGAGATGTTGATCATGTTCACTGCTTTTGTGTCTTTCTCCAACGCAACAGTATGATTAATCAGCGCTGAAGCGTTTGGACGAGGCAGAAAGATCTGGAGAAACCAGGGAAAGCAGGTTTAGTGTCATGATACAAACAAAGAACTTCAGAGTGTCAGACAGCAAAATCTTCACATATAGAACAAAGAACTGGCAGGGAATTCTTTTGTATGGCACAAAATACTAACATGACTTTCTTTCTCTAAATTGAGCCTTCTAGTAAGAACCATCATTTCTTCTTCTTCATTTTAATATACTGTATTAAAGTATTACATTAGAGCCAATCATATGTTACATTATGTTTATCCAGAAGCTAAAAAACAGTATTTCTACATAAATTGTGTGAGCTCTGTGAGGGTGGGTGGAAAGTGAGATTCATTTTCTTCCTAAGTTGTAAGGAAAGAAGGCAAGATACACATTATTTATTATATTCTATTTATATTTATTAGCCTTGACTTTGATATAACAAGCATGTTACAATAACATTTATTTTATTAGTAGTATGCATAATTTTGTTGTAGACATGAAGGCTTGGAAATCTGATTATGTAAGTTATATGAATTGGTATTCTTTAATTTTTTGATTTTGAGTAGTATCGTGTAAATATGTGATGTTTTGTTAACCAGTTTGGACTGGGCATAAATATATATATATATATATATATATATATGTATATATGCATGACAACAATAACAATAAAAAATCGTCTTCTTATTGGTAGAAATTGTAGTAAATATTCCTATTTTCTTTCATATTTTCGCTTCTTTTCTTCACTGGCATCACTTCCCTTACCTCACTTCCTTTCCTTTTCTGATCACTGATTGGCTCATGTTTTCACCCTTACCACCCAACATTTACCTGATTGAGTTCACCTGGTCAGTCCAAGGTTATTTAAAGACTTCACGCTCACCCATTCATTTTTTTTTCCACCTTTGCATGGGGTGGCAGTTCTGATTCAGCAGCTGTGTGTATTCTTCTCTTCCATGCATTCTGACTCGATGCACATGATGATTCACCTTTCATTCTGAACCTCCTACAGAAATAGTATATTAACCACTTTTCCTCCCTCAATTCGGAATGGACAATTCTCGTGGGTTATGCTGCTTTTGATTGCTAGCCCCACTGCTGATCCAGGGAGGATGCTCTGATAAACAAGGTGTCACAAGCTGATTTTTATCACCTGACAGAGAGGAGCTTCACTTTCGGCACTCTGACTTTCCTTTGTAATAACACTGGCTTTTGTAACATCTCGATCTCACCATTTTCAAAATTGCACTGAACAGCCCTAGAGAGGCACTGTAAAATCCAATTGTTTGCAGGTAATGCACAAATACTACCTACCTTCAAAAAAAAGGAAAAAAAGCACTGCAGTTGACACAATATGACACAATACCCAATTCTCCTTACTGGCTGTACCTCTATCATCTCTGTCAGGTTGGTCAGCTTGATGTCTGAGACTCCATTGTTTAGTAAAAGGCTGCAAACAGTTCCTGAGATGTTACTAGAGGGATGGGGATTCCTTGAGAATGTAGTCATCTAAGAAGGAGAAAAGCTCTTTAAAGAGGCTGTAGATGACAACAGAGATACAAAAAAACAAATATACATGATGATAACACACACAGACCTGAGCGATGATTGTGCTTGCATCTCCAAGCTGACCCTGAAGTGCTGAAAATGAAGGGAGTTTGATGAACTCACCATCTTTCTCTGAACCCAGCACTGCATTGTCAAGGTCAGCAGGTTTGCGACTGAGGGAAGGGAAACAAAATTGGAATATATAACAGTTTACAAAAGTCAAAAGGAAAATTACAGAGATAGTGGGATATAAGTTAGGTGAGTGATATTCTGAAAGGAAATACCAACCTGCTCTGGTAGATGTTGCCTGTTTGGTGTTTGATGATTAAATCTTCTGTACCTGAACCCAGCAGCACAGCGATTGTGCGAAAGATCTTAAAGACCTCCTCAAACAAAGACTGTAGGGGGGGGGGTGCAACATTACCTGACTGTAAGAGCCACAATGACTGTGTGTGATTGCTTGTGTGTCACAGTCTAACACTCTTTTGAACTTACTTTAGGGTTCGGGTTAGTCTTGATGTCACATTTTTTCATTGAGAGTAGGAGGATAGCAGTGCTACAGTGGATGATGTGACTCACAATGTGATCGTTTTTCTCAGCAAAAGCTGGAGTCAGTTGTTTAGTGCCTTTGAACAAATACTCAATGAATTTGTCCTGTGAAAGGGAAAAATAGATGCCATTACACACTGTCAGCATAAAAAGAGGTGAATATTGTGTTAGCAATGATTTAGCCGGAGTTTCCACAGGCTTTCCAAAGGCAAGGTACCTACCCTGTTGTCATTTGTTGGCTCCCCTGCTGTCATTTCCATTCGCAGTAGTTCTTTATCTGCTTCCTGTCTCAGGAAAACAGCACTTGTAAACTTTGAGGCATTATTAACAACTGTACTATTCAGTGTTCCTCATAATTCATGGGTCAAACAGTCTGTATATAAGATCTATGAGGTATCTCTCACCTCGAGGAGTAGGGTAATGTTAACAGTGGATAAACGCATGGCATCTACACTCCTTTTGAGTCCTGAAATCAAAGTGTGCGCGTTAGAAAGAGAGAGGCAGATTATGACGGTTGTTCTTCACATTCATTGTTGCTGGAACTGCTGATCAAATATAATGTTTCAGTCTTACTTACGAGATCTGCTTGCATGACTGGGCCCTATTGTATTCTGCAAAGAAAACAACATGAATATTCAGTCTGGATGTTTATCTGGCTTCCTACTGACAGTGTGCAATGTATCTCTTACCTTTGTGTTTGTTGAAGACCACAAATCTTTAAAACAAGAGTGACATTTTAGAAACTGCATATTGAATATGAAGTGAAATTAAAAAAAAGAAAAAAAAGAAACTGTAATACACTTCCTTCTGTTGTTATGAATGCAAGAGTAGACAGGAAGAAAGAAGGATGGCGGTAAAGCAGTGATTAGGAAGCTGTTGTTCCATACTGTAGGTGCAGAGGAAGCCTCGTCTCTGGTTGCAGTCCGATGTAACAAAGAGCTCAAGAGGAGTCAGCTTCATGTATGTGCAGTTGGATTCTGAAATGTCACCGTTTTCTGTTTTGGAAAGAAGTGTTTGTGCCACATAGACACACGAAAATTTCATTACCCAAAATCCAATGAAGAAAGAAACTGTTTGGGCTGCAATTATTGAGTAATCTGTCAATTATTTTTTAGACAATAATGAAAAATTCCCATCACAAGTTCCCAGAGCCCTGAGCTATGTATCATAATTACTTGTTTTTTTCGAACTAACCATCCAAATCTAATTATATAATACTGAAAAATGTGGCAAATCCTCATATTTTAGAAGTTGGAAGCAGAGATTGATTTGGTATGTTTTCCTGATAGCTGAGTTTGACCTGATAGTGGGGTTTACATATAACTTATGTAAGACAACACTGTGTGTGAAGACAACACTGAGCACATGCATTTGAGAAGTCTTATTTTGTTAGATGTGAAAAAATGTTAGGAGTCAGGATTTCCTAATGTATGCCATTTTCTCTTTTAAATATTGATTTACCTTTATTCACAATGCCTCTGATCTTAAATCAAATGACATAACATGAAAAGAAAAAAAAAGTCTTGGGCTCTCCATCACTCTGCATGTGAAGCCTGTGGCAGGGGGTCTCAAATAGACACTGCTTGATTTTCAGGATGATGAGACAAAAACACAATAAACTACAAAAAATTAAAAAAAATACTACAACAATAGATATGTTGTGTTTGTGTGTGTATTTTACTCACTCATGGCAGATTCCCCCTGGACCCCCTCCCCCAGCCACCATGTGAAGTTGTTTCTCTCTCTGGTGATGTTGTTCAGGAAACTTTTGGTGGGGCTGTTCATCACCTCCAGGAGCTCCCCTCCTCGCTTTTCACAGCTGCTCCTGGCTTGGAACCAGCTTTTTGATTCCTCAACAAACTCAAAACAGACATTCCTGAAAACAAGATCACACAAGGCAGGGAAATCATTGCCGGGACAAGCCTCAGACATTTCAGGTAAAGGTAGAAATCCAGCTGAAATCCAAAAAAACACAGAAGTTTGGAGTAACATATCCATGGTTATTATAATGTACAGAGCTAAAGCACATAGTGCTGTAGGAGCAGAGGCTGCAACAGCAAAAGAGCAAAATCATTTCCGTCAGTCACATGGAAATTAGAGAGCTTTCTCCAGAAAAACCCTGCATATGTTCTCAATACATTAGGAAAATCACTGCAGACACTCAAACAAGATGCAAAGTGAAGGAGGCACTTGGCGTCATCAAAGGTCACACAAGATGAACCTCTCATCTGCAACTGACCAAGGCCAAGTTTCACCTTTTTATTTGCTTGTCAACATGATACATTTATAGTATAGTACAATATATACTTATCATGAATATTTTGTAATCATAATTTCATAAAAATAAAAAAATCCCCTTAAATATTCACTGTAGTCATATTTTACATCTTGATGAAACATCTTAGATGAATCTCTGCATCTTCTTCACGACCCACGCTCATGATGGAAATATCGCGAGAGTACGTGGAGGAAGCAGTGAACACATGGGTTTGTGTAACAGCTTCATGCAGTGAAATGTAAGGACAGACCTGTGTCCATGGCGGGACATCTGAAGGTAATTTCAGACACAATCTCATATTCTTTGTGTTGCAGAATCAGATCATTTGAAAGGACGCCACGAAACCTGACGTGACAGCTGTGTTCCTGTTTGCTAGCTCGGTTGCTTCGCCGAAACGTGACAAACCAGGAAACACTGTAACTCAGCTTTCCTGTGTCTTTGTATGAAACTATAGAACACATTTGTAGGCAGTGGTGGTGTCTTTGCCACCACCTTTACTTGCCCATTGAAAATAGAGGCGGTTATTGTAAGAAAAATTCTCAACGACAAATGTTTGGGTTTATGTATGTACGAGTATGCTAAATTACACAGCTAATTTAACTTAAGTCGCTGTAGTCTGCCTCAAATATGAGCTCCAATCATGTATGGATTATGAGACAATACGGCCTCGGACATAGATAAGGAAAGACCCCCTGTTGTGTTATATCTGTACCTTAACGCGTAACCTCATCCTCTTTCTGACCACCGAGGGGCGAGCTACAGAAACACAATTTGTACCCTTTTCCCCCCGCTCCTAGACCCCCCACAGAGTGGGAGATATGCTGCTGATGGTTGTTTTGTGTCTCTGTGTCACATTTTGTGTTACTTTGTGGTAATCTGTGTCTCTTTGTAGTCGTTTTGCATCTGTATATGGTCATTTGTCATCTCATGGGATTATTTTGATTCTCTCCGTGTTCGTTTTGTGTCTTTTTGTGCTTATTTTATTGTCTGTAGTAATGTCTCTGTCAGGTTGTTTGTGTCTCTGAGGTCGTTCTATATCTCTGTATTACACAACACTTAGTTCCGACCAAGTAATTTGCTTGGGCATTCCACTAGTGCTGATAGAGAGTACAACAGCACCGGAACTTTTAACTACATGTATCACTCCGCTTCACAGGTGTTCTATTAACCATTAATCAGCGTTACATTAATGGTCGTTATCTGTCTTAGATTGTAACAAACTTTTGCAAAGATGAAAATATTTTTTCATAAAAAACATTTGAATTAAATGATGTATGGTCGTCAGAAGAGGATGAAGGGAAGGAAAGAAGCCTGGATAGTTCGGTGCACAACTGAGGTAACATGCAGGCAAAGTAGGAAGTTAGTGTGCATTGTGCAGGTCAGGAAAATGTTTATGTTTTGCTAAGCAACAGTCCAGTACAGGTCCAGTTGTGGAACTATCTGTGTTGGTGTTGCCAAATAAATGATGAAAGAAACAAACAAATCGTAATCTGTTGTTTCTTATTTAACTAATATGGCGCTCGTAGAACTGTTGTATGAAAGCAGCATCACAGTCGAGGTCGTGATGATGTTTTTTGTCGCTTTGTGTCTCTTTGTGGTTGTTTTTTAACTTGCCAACAGAGTTTTTCCACAGCAGACATTGTGACTGGAACAGGAAAAGCACAGGTGTACTTAATTTAATTAACGATGCTCAGTTCCATTGGTGTCTCATTAACCTTTCTGGAATTTAGCCATGCAAAATGTGATGTGTAATCGCCATGCAGTTTATTTTTCCTCCACACTACCACACTGGATATTAACCTGATTATTAAATGAAACACTGTATTCAAACTCAGTGTATTGTGGAAATTGGGTCATTGCAAACATTATGAATTAACTTTAACCAGTCTATTCACAGTAATGAATGCCTGATGTGAGTTCTTTGACGACACAGTTGATTCATTAATTTTTCATGGTCTTGTCAACAGAAGCAGTTAAAAGACGCAGTGAAGGTCATCAGCTCAGGTAGCCTTCTATTTGTCTCCTACCTCACCGCGGTTGGAGATGAGCGTTTCTATGCGAACCAGCTCATGCCCCTGCTGCAAAGGATTGTGGGAGCAGAGATGGCGCATGTGTTGGCAGTGAAGATGATAGGTTTGGGTGTGGTTCCTCTGAACCGCTACCAGGACCCTGCATCATTGGTAAATATGTCACCTCACTGTTTGCTCAGTGTACTTGACACTGAATGAACCCCAGATGCTGTAAGACTTTTTTTCTGTTTGTTGTTACTTCTCTATAGGAAGTGAACGTCCTTGGATTAAAGTTCAAAAATCCTATTGGCATTGCAGCGGGCTTTGACAAGCACGGGGAGGCTGTGGATGGCTTGTACAAATTGGGTTTTGGCTTTGTTGAAGTGGGGACAATCACTCCCAAACCTCAGCCAGGGAACCCCAAACCACGTGTGTTTCGACTCCTTACAGATCAAGCCATTATTAACAGGTATGTTTAGAAAAAGTTGCACTATTGTCTATACTTGACTGACTTTTCTATTGTTGTATAAGAATGCATTAATTTTAGTTAAATGCAGCTAATAAAACTGTATATGTTGTTCACTTACAACATACAATTTATATTTTATCAATGTTTTTACAGTAAAAATGGGAAAACTGTTTTTTATTTTAAATTAAAACTTGAATTAAAACTAATTTATTTCTATCATTACGTTTTAATGGTGTTAAAATATTTCCATGTATAAATGATGTTGCTTATTAAAATTGGGCAACATAATCTTACTGTTAGTCTCACGTTATTTTACGATGAAAACTTTATTGCAAATAAGTCAACAGTGTGAAGCAATGCATCAGTCAAAAAAAGCCAACATTTGCAATAACCTGTTGATTGGTGGATCATGTAGTTGCTCAAATTACCAGTCAAATCAAAGTTTGTGTCACAACACACTTCACAACTGGAATGTATGGGCAGCTGTTAGCTTTATAGTTGCGATTCATGTCTTTTAAAAATATTTTTGTATATTGGTCACGTAGTTGAACACCCCACTTTTATGTTAATTTATTCAATTTATATAACAGGAAAGGAGTCACATTAGTGTTAGTTTAGAGCAAGAGGAAATAATGATGTTTTTCTTTCTCAGCTCTGTCTGTTCAAAGAGACTATGCCTCCTACAGGTTTACTGCTATAGGGTTTAAAGGTTTACCTCATTTTGTTTGCCGTTTTAATTTGTCACGCAGATTTAAATGAGCTAAATGAAGGAAATCTGTTTTTACCGGCTCTTTTTTGATTTTCTTTTCTGTCATTATACCCGGTGAAATTGGTAATTTATGGTAATTTATCTTCATGATGTTGCAACAGACAATTTACCAGTGAATTAAGAGCTTTGCTAGTGTAAAAAAAAAATTAAATGAAAGTGTTATATAAGCTTTTGGTATTTAGTGCACTTGATTTTTGTAGGATTAGTTTATTAATAGGGTGGCATTTTAACAAGTTATGCTGTGTGTGTGTGTGTGTGTGTGTGTCTGTGTCTGTGTGTGTCTGTGTGTGTGTGTGTGTCTGTGTGTCTGTGTGTTTGTGTGTCCGTGTCCGTGTGTGTGTGTCCGTCCATCCAGATATGGATTCAACAGCTGTGGTTTGGCAGAGGCACAGCAGAGGTTGAAGGCCAGGGAAGAAACACAGCAAGAGCAAAGTAAAGGTTAGCAGTACTGTAAATGTGAAATGACTCACTGATCCAGCCAAAAAAATACTGAGTACAGTATTTTAAAATTTCAACCTGTTTTTTTTTCCTTTTGTTATTACTACCAGAAGTCTGATATAAATCTGGCATGTTTTGTTCTGTGTGCACTTATGTTATTTAGTAGTCACTTAGTTTGTGATGAGGAGGTCAAGCACTAGCACAAAGTGGGTTTGTGGTTAAATAGAATATTCTGTTGTCTTCTATTTTAATGATCTTGACCTGTCCTTGTTTCACGTTCTGTTGTGTCTGATCCATACCTGCTTACAGCCCATTTAGCACATGGGCAGCCACTGCCCCAGCTGAGTCATATGTCTGATGATGCAGCTTGTGTTTGTATTTGTCTGAACTTTCCTGTTTGTGTGTGTGTGTGTGTATGTGCGTATGTCTGTGTTTATAGCTGGCCTTCCCCTGGGCATCAACCTGGGGAAGAACAAGCTGTCCCAGGATGCAGGGACAGATTACTTGGAGGGGGTGAGAATGCTGGGCCCGCTGGCTGACTACCTGGTGGTCAACGTCAGCAGTCCTAATACACCGGGTCTCCGGGACCTGCAGGGGAAGGCTCAGCTCCACCAGCTCCTACATACGGTAGGACTGTGTGAATGTTCATTAAATTACTGCGTTGGGACCCAACAGTGACAAAAATGTGAACACAACAAAAATGTATCATCTGGCCTTATTGCCCAGCCTTCCCGCCTCAAATATAGTAGATCTCGATTCTAAAAATATCTTAAATAACTTCAAGTATAATCTCTTTGGTGTAGGTGTGATACAGAGAGAAATAAAAACTTTTTTTTTTTTTCTTAATTCCCCACCAAAGAAACAAGCCAAGAAGATTGAATAAAGGATTTGAAAGGATACGGTTTTGGTAAATGTATTCAGACATGGCTTCAGATTGGATAAAACGCTATCAAACGCTATCAAACCCCATCCCAAGGTGCATTCAGGGTTTGAAAGCATTTTATTTTATTTGTTAACGGGATGTGTTTAAGTTTATACATGGTGTTATGCTGCTCTTTAAATTAAGTAGCTCTTCTGTATTTTTCCTTCCCTCACTGTCCTTTACATCATACAGCACCCCTCACCCGATATACTCACATTCTCATAAAACCTCTGCAGGTGTTGAAGGAACGTGATGCCCTGCAGGGAGAACACAAACCTCCGGTGCTGGTGAAGATTGCTCCTGACCTCACTGCACAGGACAAACAAGACATTGCTGATGTTGTCACTGAGGTAGGACGTTTATTTGTTATAGTCATTTAATTTCCTTATTGTGCCTTGATTAGATTTTCTAGCCTCTTCTTAATTCCATTCCATTATAATCAAATTTCTTTCCTTTCTAATTTCCATAATAGCCATGTTTCATTTCTGCTGTGTTTTCCATTCGTGGCAAATAAAAGGGTCTGTCCAGGTTTAATCAGAAAGGATTGTGTTCCTTTTCCGTGGAGTCTAGTTTTTCCATGATAGATATGTATTTAATTTGTTGTATTGTAGTGTTTATAAATTGTTGTATCATCCTTTAGCCCTTTTCAAGAATGTAGGACAGAAAACATACAAACTTTACACAGGAAAAGCTGAATTTAAGCTCAGGTCCTGCTCTGAGGTGACAGCACTGATACCTTGAGTCATCCATGTCTCATGCTCTTATGAAAACAGCACACACCCTTTGCACAGATGCAGCCTTCTTCTTGCTTGAATGGCAATTGTATTGCTGGCCAGATAAATATGACTCCACAATAGAAAATGACATATATGACATTAGATATGGATAAATAATCTTTAGGCTAACATTAATGAAAGGCCTTTAGAAAAGAACAGTTGAAATTATAACAACTGTTAAGTAACTGTTACTTTAGTTTTGTCTTTAGGTTCCTTTTGCATTTTAGAGAAGAATCATATACTTGCTAGAGTGTGAGGCTTGTAGTTGCTTAGTGATCAAATATAAAGTTATAAGACACATGGAAATCTGCTTGATATCTAAACTTACTTTTTTGTGGTAATAACTATGTAATGGGGTAATTTTCAACCTCATCAGAGCACTGTTTAAAACGTATCGCTCAACAGGATCATTTAAAGACTTTGTTCCCTTCTTGCACTCTGTAACCTCATCACTACTTCAGAAGGTTGATTTCAGAAAATCCAGAGCAGTGTCTTTTTTTGCTCATGGGAGAGAGGAGGAGACTAACCTTAATGGAGACATTAAGGAGGGAAAAGCATTTATTTTAACAGTGCTCTGCCCTTCTCTTTGTCACAGTGCACTTCACATTAGAGGTCTGTGAAAGTCAAATGGCATTTACTCATAACCACCCACGACAATCATTTCTGCTCCTGTAGATGCAGCTACATACTTACTTCATGTCATCAGCTCTGTGCATGTTCTGTGTTTGCAGCTGGGAGTGGATGGGTTAATGGTGTCTAACACCACCGTGTCCAGGCCAGAGACGCTTCAGGATCCACACAAGTCTGAGGTTGGTGGGCTAAGTGGCCTGCCTCTCAAAGACCTCTCTACTAGCACTGTAAGAGAGATGTACAACCTCACCAAAGGTACATAGTTAATTTTTCTGTCCATTTTTCATCAAGGAGAATTTGCCTCTTTTTTTTCTCTTTTAACATCACAATACACTGAATACTTTTGAAAGTTATCGCTAAAATAGAATACAACATTATTATAGGTGAAGTACCAATCGTGGGAATTGGCGGTGTGGCCAGTGGGCAGGATGCTATGGATAAGATCCGTGCCGGTGCGTCATTGGTTCAGCTCTACACTGCTCTGACCTATCAGGGTCCACCTGTAGTGACAAAGATAAAGCGAGAATTGGAACAACTTCTAAAGTGAGTATGACCGTGAATGGAAATGACCATATATCCTTAAGTGGAACATTTTAAGAATTTTTGAGGGCTTCCTTTTTAACAATAAAAGGATATTTCTGGTTTATCACAAATTGGATGTTGTTTGTTATTGTCTTGGAAATAACCGATTTAATTACTGAGATCTGGGAGCTCAGCTGTCTCTCTAAAAGCTCTGACAGGGCACGAAACACCAGCAGTCAAGACGTTTGCTAAACTTAATTGGAAGAGAAAATTAAGGTTTAATTGTAAAAATTATTACCCAAACTATAATCCATCACAGTTTACAAAGCAATATCTTCTGGAGTTTGACTTACAAATAATGTGTTTTATATAGTTTGGCCCCATGATTGTGTTTCTTGCCAAATTTCTTTTTAGTAATGTTGTCTCAGAAATGACTTTGAGCACTATGTTATCATAACCGATAGAAATGATGGACAAAGCTACAGAATAAGACAAATAAATTGGAATTAATGACAGTCAAAAAGTCGACAATTTTATCATAAGTCTACACATATAGTGATTTCTGGCAGCAATGCTAATGCACCTCCACAATGTATCACTTCATACAGCATGTTTCTCAAAGACTGACAGCACAAGTTTCAAGAACTTTCTCATGTTCATCAGTTGCTCTCTCTCTCTTTCTCTCTTTGTCTCTTAGTATCCTCTGATTTGCATCATAAATGTTTCTAATTCAATATCTTCATCTGTTTTCACAGAGATCAAGGTTTCAGCAGCGTCTCTGAGGCAGTTGGAGCAGATCACAGAGGAGCAGATTGGTCGACTCGTAAGCAGATCAAGCTGAAAGAGATGGTAAATGTTAACACAGACACTCAGGGCTTAGCAGCACCTGTAGCTGCTGTCTCCTCCAACTAGGCAACATGATGGTCAACTTTTCCTGAAAAGAGATGAATGCTGAGTATTTGTGATAGTCCATCTGTGCATTCAGTCAGCTCTGACCTGGTTGTCTTTAAAACCATATTTTCAGTAATGGTGGTGAGGAGTGCGGAGAAAGTAAAATGCACCAAATCTCAGCTACACCTTTACTTATTAAGTGAGTAATGGTAAATCTCTGATGGTGCAATTGTAGTACTGAGGCGCTGAGGTCGATTTGAAACTTTATTTCAGACGTTTGTCCTTTTGTTACAGTGTTACAGCAGTTAGCTTTTCTCAAGTGCATACTGAAACCAAAGTGCTTGAATTTTTCACACACTTGCTCCCTAAACTAATTTTTACAAATGGATACAAGCAGTTTTTCTTGTGTGTAAAGAAAATAATCTGAAAACTTGTTTGTTGTCCTCCATTTCAGTAATTATATAGAAGTTGAAACAATACATTCAAATGTTGACATTGTATTATTCATTGCCAATCTAAATATAGATGTTATTATTCGTAAATGAATGGAAGAGTGCAAACATTTACGGGTTTGGGATCGAATTATTTATTTTGCTATGTGCTATGACCGAGGGCTTGTAGTGGGGCTGTTCATGGCGAACATTTGTGAGCTCTCTGTTTCAATCTGTTGTACATCAGACTTGGTAAAAGCTCCAACCGGTTACATAGAGGACAGCTGGTACACAAAGTTCAAACTCTTATGATTGTATGTGCCATTTGCGGACAACACATTACGAAATTTCTATTTTGACATTTTTAATGTTTTCAGTTTTACTGACATCTGAAGCTGACATTGTATAAACCTACACATTTAAGGCAATGACTCGGTATACTGTGTATGAAAGATATTTATTCCAGTGTGGGAGGTTCCTTTCACTACATGTTCATCATCCTAGCATTATGCCGTGTAGATGATCTGGTGAAGTCATGCAATCAGATTTTATATGATGTGTTGATGTGTCCATCAAAAAGAAGACAAATGCATCACTAGATTTTACATTTGGTCAGGTCAAGTTGGTTGTTTGACCCCATCTTCTTTTTCCTGCACTGAAAGACCTTGAAACAATGATGACAAACATGGAACCAGAGAGATTACATTCATGTTATGCTTATTTCCTCACTGGTTTACTGTCATAAAAACTCATCGGCTTAGGAATGCAATATGTTCTGTGAGAGGAGGGGTTGAAACATGCACTTGTTTTGAATTTGAATGTATACCATCTTCAGATTTCAGCAAACCCAGTTTTGTTTTTGCGTGTATGTGGAGGCACATGTTAAGGAGAATCAGCAAACACTGGAGCTCTGTTGATTTATGAAAGGCTTGAAGATGAGTGTGCAATGTTCCCGGCAGCAATAGAGAAAGCCCTTCAACTCCTCTTCCCATTAGATGAAGTCCCACTCCCCTGTGTTCTTATTAGCTGTGGGCATTGTGGCATCATGAGCCATTGGTGCAGGCTTTTATTGTTATTCTTGGGTTTTTCCCTCACTCATTGACACATTGCGATGCCTTCCTATAGCCTATCACAACACCGCCCGCTAATCCTAGAATAGACAGCAGTCATTAGACATGGCCAGGGAAGGCAGCAGTACTGTGAGGATCAGCTGTGAGCTGCCAAGCACTTCCTTCCCCCTCTCCTGAGGCCAAGTCCAAACTGGCTTGTATCCCATATGTGGTGTCACAAGGGGGAGGAGAGGGGAGGCCTGGCTTCCAGATTAGCAAAACTTTAAAACTGAAGGCCACTTAGATGTACGTTTTCCTCATTTAACTTTGATCATAGCTAGGAGGCAGCACTTAATCTGTCCCTGAGATGCTGTTTGTGCCGTGCTTTGATACAGTCTGAAGGCTAATAGGAAGAGAAGGGTCAGTGCTGGTCTTAATATATCACCTTGAATGAGCGTTAGGCAAATATTCATTATTGTATCTAGCACTATGCATGTATTCATGAGATCAGTAATGATAGCTTTACAGGTCAAGCATAGTTTTTGTGTCATAGTAGCCACGTTAATAAACTGTTAACTATGGAGAGCAGATGTCTTGGTAATACACAGGCACCCAGTGAAGAGGAGGGAATTTGTTCTTACTTGGCTGCACATGGAGAAAAACAAAGTGAATAAACAGAAAAACATTTTGCCTCTGTAAGACCTGTATATAACCAAAACAATGCTTATGTAGAAAAACAGACGAGGAAAAGAAAATGAGGTTGAAATATGTGCTGTTCAGTGAGATGTATTAGTAATTATTGGCTGGACTGACAAAGAAATTCATGTTTCCCTTGTGATAAATTGTTGCAAATACCACGTATTGTTTGTGGTCTGTTGTTATTCACAGTAATAGCATTTGATACACTGATATATATGAGAGAGAGAGAGAGAGAGAGAGAGAGAGAGAGAGAGAGGAAGAGAGAGAGAGAGAGAGAAAGAAAGAGAGAGAGAGAGAGAGAGAGAGAGAGAGAGAGAGAGAGAGAGAGAGAGAGAGAGAGAGAGAAGAGAGAGAGAGAGAGAGAGAGAGAGAGAGAGAGAGAGGAGAGAGAGAGAGAGAGAGAGAGAGAGAGAGAGAGAGGAGAGAGAGAGAGAGAGAGAGAGAGAGAGAGAGAGAGAGAGAGAGAGAGGAGAGAGAAACTATACACTGATATTTGAGATTTTAAGGTGATTTTACAGGTAACAAAAGTCCTCTGACTGGAATCAATGGAGCGCTGGGACACCCCTGTTTACTCTTCCTCTCAAACACTCAACCAACCATTCTGGTTTGGTGAACTCATATTTGTTTTGACATTTAGACACTGATGCAGTTTGTGTTTTTACTTTATATAGATGGCATTTACAAACACATGATTTACGTGTTGTTTTTTGTTAAGTTTTCTTTTCTTCTTTGGTGTGATATTTGTTTTTCTGGAACATCAGATGGCAAAGCTAATGAAGCATTCTTTATATAAGAGACTCTATTGGAGGTTTTATCGTTTTGAGGAGGAGGAGCCTTGAAGACTGAAAGAGCCAGTGTCTTCTGGGTCATTGGTTACAAAACTAATCAACCCTGAATGTTACAAGGTAAAGCAAAGATGGTTTTTGGATCATTTGTCAACTTCAGGAACATGGTTTAAAACCTCCCCTCAAAGAAAGAAAAAGCTATTTTAAACATGTATTAGAACAAGCCCACATAGTGCCCTTAATGCATTTAACCTTTTATGTTTAACCTTAGACCTTAATATGTTCAAATAATTTAATATTGTGTCAGATTTTAAATTCAAATTATAAACATTTGTATGCCTACAACAGCAATTTTGCATTACAGGTCACAAGTAAAGGAGACAAAACAACTACAATGCAATACCAGACCCCAGTAAATGACGTAGATACACAGGGAAAAAAACAAATGCTATGAGGCATTGCATAGACAATCAAGGATTTAGAATAATGATTACTTTTCTTCACAGGTAGAAGCTACCAATGCAATAAAACTCACTTTGCAAATATGTACTTTAGTACAGTCACTGTTTTTTTTATGACAGCAGTATATTTTCCTTTTGTTTTTCACTGTTCTGGTCTCATTTGAAAAACTGTTGATTTATCATTTTAATCACTTCTTTAAATACAGAAACTCAAAATCAGAAATATACTTTTTTTTTTTTTTTTTTTTTACAAATGTATTTAAATGGAAATCTAACAGCCCCAGGTGAGTAACATAAACCTTTACCAAACATAATTTGTTTTTGTCAGTAGGTGTAGATCAAGTGAAGTGTATGCAGCACTATCACCGTTGAGACATCAGTAGACCTAAACATTTAGATATGATTAAAAAATAGGATTACAAAAACCTTTTTAAAAAAAAAAAAAAAAAACTGAAGCAACCCCTGAAGAAAAAGGCACAGAACAGCCTGCAATTCGTTAAAAGACATTTCATAAAGTCGAGCACAGCACATTGCCCATCTAACACCATTTTTACTGTGAAGCGTGTCGATGGCAGCATCATCCTTTGGTGGAGGCTTGTGAGAATCAACACCACAGTGAAATAAGACAAGTACAGGGACATTCTCGAAAGGAAACCTGCTTTAGACTGCCAAAGACTTTAGATCGATACACCTTTCTAACAGGACTGTGACTGCAATCAAAGAGGAGCTATCAACACTGGAATAGCTTCAGAGCAACAGCATGAAAGCCCTGCAGAGGCCGATGCCAAAGCTCCGACTTAAATTGAAAACCAGTGAAATTCCCTGAAAATAGCTGTTCACAGATAAAACCCAGCCAAACTGACTGAGCCAAACCAAATCTGCTAGGAAGGCAGAGAAAACCCCCCAGTTAACTGTATATGCGCTCAAGGAATACAGATGAGTCTGCTTTGACTCAAAATACCATTTGCTGGTAAAGGTAACCTACTTCTTATAATCTCCTACTAATCTGTGTGTCATCTCAACCTGCAGAGGTGCTTCAGTCCAGAGAATGGAATAAAGTTACACATCTGTTTGATTAGAAACCACATTTATACATCTGGCATCAACTGAAAACAAACTTTCTCAATTATTTGAAGCAGGTTGGAGCAGTGACAAATTTTCTTTCTCGAATTAACTTTATTTTGAGAGCGTAGCAAGCGTTAAAAATTGCTTTAAATTACATTCTATTACATTGATCTGGCAGACGCTTTTGTCCAAAGTGACTCACCATTGAAAATATGAAACATCCCGTGTTTCTGCGTGCTGAACATTGTGACTCTGTCTGTGAAGGAACAGCATCATTGATTCCTCTATGCAAGAGGTGCACACGGATGCAACAGCTGATAGCACTTCTGCAGTTCCTGTTCGATGAACATGGAGCCCTATTATCACACTCTTCATCATTAGTGGCACCCAGTTTTTTGTGGCACTAATAATATACTATCAAAATTATTTTTAAAATGGCATATGGTATATAACTGAGGCACACCATCATTGAGATGAGATCACAGTGTTCAATGAAAGCAGCGAATCGTGTCAAATTGTGAAAAACAGGTGAAACATATCAATGGACAGTATGGCGGATGTCAAGCAGACGTGATTATGTAAGCTGGAGTGCTGCAGGTGGTGTCTGAGGTGTGTGTTTGTTTTCCATAAGGAGGAGGAGGAGGAATGACAGCTGGGAGCCTGTCAGGTCAGGTCAGCCAAGTAGGCATAAATGTTTTTCCTGAATCCCGATGGGGAGGTATTTTTTATTTCAATGTTTGTATGAAGGTATTTTTTAGCCAAAGATGAAGATAAAATTGGTGGAAGAAATGTATATACAATTTTGATTAAAAATATAAATTGTTCATCATGTGGGAGTAAAATTGTCATTTTGTTAAATTAGATGCAGTATTTTGCTTTAATACCCCAAAGGCTACCAGTTATTTTACTTAAATCTATGCATGCTATATTATCTGAAGTATAAAGCATCCTCAGTGATTTATAGATTTTCCTTGTCAAGTAGACAAATTATAAATTTATATACTTGTATTTATTTTGTTTTTCACAAAGCTAAAGTATGAACCTGGTTACCACAACAGATAGAAAAGTAAACGGTTGTATTCATCCTATTTCTTAAGCTCCTTTTATACGTGTAGCCTTCAGCATTGGTGATTTTTACATCTCTCCATGGCCCTGGTGTCAACACCTTTACTTTCATGACTATAAAATACGAGTATATGTGAATATCACATCGTCATGGCAAGGTTTCAAAATTGCATCTGCTTCAGCGATAGCCTTGGACAGTATTTGTTATCTACTGTATATCATTGACCAACTAGACTACAGTGTGTATGCATTCTGCTACCAATTCTACTCAGTTCTATTCTACTCTAAACTTTGAGCGGAATTGATGACTCTGTAATTTCCTCATTTTCTTTCGTACATGTGTGGTAGTTCATTTTTGAGTTGTTATACTTTCTGTATGCTTGGTCAAATTTAAAAAACACTGACGTTGTTTGTGGAGACCGTTTGACCCCATGTGGTTTGCTGATCCTGTTAAAGACGAGACTGTTTTGCACCGCACTGACCAAGACACATCAGTACATGTGCTGTAACTCCACAGTGGGCACCAGTGTTACTTATCACACCTTCTTTGTCTTTTATACATCACTGCACTTCATGCAAATAAGAGCTGAGTGGCACCAAGATAGCTTCTATTGAGACCGTAAGGCAGTCATGTTGCAGGCACTAAAGACTGCTTTTTTTCATTCAATATTTAAGTATTTCCTTTTAGATCTTTATTATGGCAAAGTCAGAGGATACACTTACATAATTCTCAGTGTCTTGGGGATGCACAATGGAAAGAACAGGGAATGTTCCCTACATGACAATTTAGACCTGCGTATATATGCCAAAGAAGATAAATACCCCAAAGAAAATAAGTCCAATATTGTATAATCTAATGCAAAACACTATTTCTGACCTGTTGTGTATGAAAAAATGAGAACATGCATTACCGTGGTGTGAGTGTGAACAAGCCTTAATGCATTTTGAGACCTGAACTAGCTTGAGTGCAGCATGTCTGTAGTGCAGTGTGACTGAAGTATACAGCCCAGTGTCCTTCTGCAGATGGCTGTTATGAAAGCTGGTGAAGCCTCTGGCTACAGGAAGTCACAGGTGTGATGTAGGCAGACAGAGCCATAAACGACACACTACGCTGCCCGAACCGATTACCGCTGATGGGAGGGTGTGTATACATACAAAACACACAAACGGAAGGGAATAGATGCATCAATATAAATATCGTCAGAGGTTTTATTTTCCATAAAAAGTATACATTTTATTGTATTTAATTTGGTGCCCTTTTATTTCAAAGAACAAAAATATAAAAAAATCTCTTGAACAGTAACAGTAAAACTTACACTACATTATATTTTGTTAAAAACATTTATGAAATTTTTGAAATTATCATATACTGCTTATAAATGCTAACTAGAGGTTATTAAAAGAGTTTCAGTGCATTACGTTCTG